CTCGGCGGAAACGCCGCGCGGGGCCCCAGGTCCACCGGCGGGAGGACGTCCGTTATTCTTTTGTGACCCGCGGAAACCTGGGACGGAGCCGTTGGGTGCCTGTCCTTCCGTAGAGCGTAGGACAGAACACGGTCCTGGCGGCTCCCGTCCTCGGGCGCGACTGTTGGTAGCTTTCTAGCTTCGCTTTCTTCGCTGTCCGGCCAGTCGTTGTTGCATTTACCCGCTGTCTTATTTCTCATTTTCAGAGATGCTCCTCCTCATGTTTTGCATTTGTCTCAACGAAAGTTCCGCATTTTTCCTGCAGTGTTCTGCAACAGACCCTAGATTTTTTTCCTCGTACGAATTAGCGGCAAGTTAAACCTCCCTGAATAGGGTATATTGATGGCAGCGAAGTGTTTTTCGCTCTTATCCTTCCTTTTGGCCTACCTGGTTTAAAACAGGTAGTTGGTTTAAAACAGTACAAATAAAAGTTTTATGATTTTTTTGTGTGTTTATTTTAGCGGCTGGCCAATACCGGCATCCGAACCCTTGATCTTTATTATAACACCGCACTCTAACCAACTGAGCTAACCAGCCAGCCCGGTGTCCTGATCTTTAAGAAAATCACGAAAAATTGAAAACTTGGAAAGGTGTGTCTTTGTTGCATTCGTTTGGCCGATTTAATACCCGTGTGAATTTGTCGAACTTGAATAATCTCAACATTTACTCTTGTCATTTGGAATAGTATTCACGCATTTGAGGCCCATGACTATTTTGAACTGTGATACGTTAATCTTATATCCATCTTGTTAAAATAAGCAGGTGTCTTATTATTGGAAACATGTTAGAGAAAAGTTTATACATTTTAATTTTGGGGGGTGGTTTTGGGCAGCTGGTCGGTACATTATGGGGATCTGAACCCTTGACCATGTTATTAGCACCACGCTCTCCCAAGTGAGTAACGGGCCAGGCCCTTATGCATTCTAATTAAAAGGCGACTTTATCTAATTTAGCCCCTACTTATTTTTAAATGGCATTGGACTTGATTTTCTTTGTTTCTTTTTCTTTTTTGGCTTCTGCTGGTGGGTATAGGGATCCAAACCCTTAATCTTGGTGTTGGACTTGGTTTTTGAGAATATTAGTGTAAGGAGTGAAAAATTAGATCATTTTCTCTTTGAATCTGAGTTTTAACACCTGGGTAATTCCCCCTGGAGTGCTACACCCACACAGTTTGGCAAAGTCAAATCTGTTGAATTAAGTCGTTTCTGGCTTCATAGCTTATAAACTCTGCATAAATATTTCATAAATGAAAACCAGTTGTGGGAAAATTTTCATGTGGCTTAATGCTTTTTCATTAAACTTTCCCCACTCTCTAGCAGTTGGTAGGAAAATGTCTTTTCAGGTAGTTGATACTTCCCCATAGATAATAAGAGAGCAAGAGAAGTAGGGGAAGTAACCCATTAAGCATAATCTGAGTCAGATCCAGTGAGGAAAGCCAAAAAGGGTTTAAAACTGTCAGGAAGAGTGGTAGGTGAGAAAGCAGGAAAATGCTCCTGAATGCTATCCTAGCACCTGCTCCAGGAATAACTTTTGAAACTTGCCCCAGCGTAGGTGACCTGTTAGGCAGGCCTTAAATTTTCCATGGTGGGAGATGTTTTTGTCTTCCGTTCTTTAGCAATGAAGTGTGTTTTGACTAGACTTGCAGCAATTGTGTTGTGTTGGCTCTAGCCTGCTTGCAGTTGCCCTTAAAGGTGAAAATCAATTTCAAATGACAGGTTAAAATGCAGTTTCAGAACCATGGGACTCTAAAGGTGGGGCTAATTTCACTGAGTTTATTCTGTTCTGTTTGGGCAAAATGTATTGGGCCAATGAGAGTTCCTCTGAAATCCTAGAGTCCTTTTATTTTGGCAACAGGACAAATGGTTATTGTCACCTTAATTAAACTGTTATTTCTTTTACACTAGTGTTTGTATGCTGTTATCCTCCCATCTGTGTGGGCACAGGCCTGGCTGTGTGTGTCTGCAGCTTAGTAGATTATGCATTTGCAGTGATTGCTTGCCTTTTGATTCTTGCAACAAAAGTCAAAAGCACTAACCAAGGGGAGTTTTGTGTGTTTGACCATTTCTCAGTCATTCAGGTGTTTGAAAAGTTCCAGCTTCCTACAAAGCTTCCAGTCTACTGGGAAAATGAATATCAACAACTATAGAAGAAAGGGTAGTATTGGAAGCACCATAACAGTTGTGCAAAGCTTTTTAGAATCTATGAGAAATTAGAGTTTACTAATGGCTGAGGAGATGTGGTGAGAAACATCTTGCCAGGAATGTGTCCTTTGGCCAGCTGATCAGGACAGCAGCAGGACAAATGTGGACTGTTAGCTGACAATTCCTTTGACATCTCATCTACCTCATTTCCAATGGTTCCTTTTCAGAAACTTCCATTAAATACTGAAATTTGGGTTTAAGATATGTGGTTTAGGAAAGGACCTGTGTGGGGAGGGTGAGGGGTGGGAGTGGGTGGAAGAATAAAGGATGTTAAAAGATGACTGGTATCTCTCTTTCCTTGCTTTGTTCAGATAGTTTCTTCTTGTTTATGGATTATAAGGAGGCTGACTGTTAAATCTGGTTTTGCCATATTTCTATTTCTAAACAGTTGGGATTGATTCAAGCAATGAATTCATGCTAAGTAACTTCCCTTACCACAAATTAAAGGCTGCCTCAAGATATTTGCTTTTTTGGTTAATTCTTTTGCTGTTACTTAAGTAGGAAGTTGGAGCTCTGCATTGGTTATAGTATTGAGACTGTTAGAGGTGGGCAGGGCATCTAGTCCAGTGTCTTCATTTTGCAGACAAGGAAACCAGCTGAAAGAGGAGATGCACTAAAGGTCACATGCAAGGTGGTAAAGGTAGTGATGGGGCTGAAGTGAAAGCTAGACTTTCCTGCTTTTTGTTAGGCTGCAGAACCTCTATAAATTTGGGTGGTAGGACCCTGTTCCAATTCAGATCCATGCCCAGTTTCCAATGAAATGTTTAGAAAAATCAGGATGAAAATTCCTGTGTATGCATCTAAATTAGTTACTCAAAGTTTGGATCCATGCAGGTTGGATGAAAACTATAGGTGTCTTCTTATTTTCTTAATTGACTAAGCTATAGGTATTCTTACTGGTTGTGGAGCTTTTGAAACCTGAGCTACTAAAGGGAAACTCCCCCCCTTAATCATATCAATGCATATATTAGATTTGGAATTTAGGGCCGAGCCCGTGGCGCACTCGGGAGAGTGCGGAGCTGGGAGCGCAGTAGCGCTCCCACCGCGGGTTCAGATCCTATATAGTGATGACCGGTGTGCTCACAGTGCTCACTGGCTGGGCGCAGTGTGGCCAGTCTCAAAAAGGACAAAAAAAAAAAGATTTGGAATTTAAATTATGGTGAAATACCCTAACTGTATATGTTAATAGGTGAGGTCCCATGTTATGTCTTTAAAGCTAACACCACATATGCAAATTTATTTTATGTCCTTTTATAAGGTTTTAGTCATTCTTTTTCTAAGGCTGAGTGGTTTATTATAATGAATAAATCTGGTTATTGTCTGTAAATATCAAGAAAGTTGAAATCTTTTTAATAAACTAGCCTGTTTTTCTCTACTTTGCTAGTACAGTCACCTCCAGAGAAGAAGCTAAATCAACTTATTTGTATTGCATTTGTTCCTACTACCTGCCCATCCCAGTGAATGTGCAATGTGTAATTGAACAGAATGAGTAGAAAATTCTTCAGTCCATGGTAGCTTTTATAGTGTGGGTTTTCACGGCACACTTACTGCAATATACAAATGCAGGAAGTTGACTTACATAATTGTGTGTGTGCACGGCAGGTTAGCGTGGGGGAATGGCAAGAGATTTGGCAGTTAACTTATCTTCTCTGTGAAAGTGGGCAGTATAACCTCTCTGATAGGGATTTTCTCCTTCGCAGAAGACTGATGCCCCAGAGGGGACTAGGTGAACCCAGCTGTTCATTCACCATTTGCCCAGTGCCTGCTATGCGAGGCCCAGAGGCTAAATACAGCTGTGAACAAATGAATTGGGCATGCCTGTCTTCATGGAGTCCACAGGCCAGAGGGAAGATTGGCTGTGAACAGATAGTTTGCAAATAGTGCGTATCTAATTTTCAGCTGTGGACATCCTAGGAAGAAGTGGAAAGTCTGGGGACAGAGGATCTAGCCTAGCCTTCTAAGATAAAGGCCTACCAAGGTAAAGGCCTCCGCATTTCAGCTGTAACTTACAAGTTGAACAAGATGTGCACAGCCCAGTGCTCGGCTGCAAACCAGCCTTTTAAAAGTTAATTTCTATGTGAAAAAGGAGTAGGTAACATAAGGCAGGTGACAAATTTGTAAGTATTTGGGACAAGCCCACAGCACTCAGTATTAAAAAGGCTATCTTTAGCCTCAGAAAATCATCAAGTTAAGAAATTAATCCACTGAAACTGCTACTGAGGATGGCTGACGTTTTCTCAGCACTTGGTTACTAACATTACGCCCTACTTTTTAATTTTTATTTGTTTTTTATTTTATTTTTTATAAAGATGACTGGTAAGGGGATCTTAACCCTTGACTTGGTGTTGTCAGTACCACGCTCTCCCAAGTGAGCCAACCGGCCATCCCTATATAGGGATGTGAACCCGTGGCCTTGTTGTTATCAGCACCACACTCTCCCGAGTACGCCAGGGGCTGGCCCTTTTTATTTTTTGTTTGTTTTTTATGAGTCATTTCTTGTTCTGAGTTCCTACTTGAGGAGCTGGCTGGTTAGCTCAGTTCATTAGAATACAGCCTTGTAACAAGGGTTAGGTTCCTCCTGCCAGTCAGTTACCAAAAAAAGACAAAGGTCCCACTTGAACTGGGGGATTAAGAGTAGAAATGGTTTCGGAGTTCCAGGCCTTGGAAGGTAGACCAGTTGCAAAAGTATTTAGGGAGGTACTTAGCTGCAAATCTGGTAAGTGGGACAAGCACACCGTGGAGTCATAAATACTTGGGTTCAGGGGCTGGTGGGTTAGTTCAGTTGGTTAAAACGCAGCTTTGTAACAGCAAGGTCACGGGTTCAGTTCCTTGTACCAGCCAACTGCCAAAGAAAAAACAAATTTGGGTTCAGGTCCTGGTTCTGCCATTTATCATCGGTGTAACCATTAGAAAAGGCTTGTAACTTCTTAATTCTTCATTTCCTCAGCTATAAAACAGGCATAATAATGCTAGTCTTCAGGGGTTATAGAAATCAGCAGTAACAGTAAATAAAATGCCCAAGGCAGGTGTGCAAATAGTTATGAAAAAAGAGGACAAAGTGTTTGTACTTTCCAAGACTGGTTTTATTTCCTTCCTAATCTTAACCTTCCTAGATCAACTGGCCCCTGGTCACTCACATCTCAGCTTCTGTGTTTGTGCTTTGCATCTGAGCAGTGCTAACTTCAGGGTCAGTACTCAGTACTTAGTTTCTGGTACCCAGTACTTAGTTTCTTGATGGATGAGATTCATGGCTAGCCAGACCTTTTTTTTTTTAAGAGATTTTCTTAATCTCTCTGAGCTAGGTGGATTATTGTCTATTAAAAGTGGAATAAATGACCGGCTTTAGTGTTTTCTGTGGTAATCTATTCTCAACATTGGAGGTCCTTCTGGAAGTATTTCTGTATCTATGATCATCTGCTGTTGTCTTACATTTTTTCCCTGTGATACAAAGGTGCTTTGGCTGGAGAGAGTAAACCCAAGAAAACTTAACAAGGGCGTTATTACAGGGGGGTTCAACTGCTGCCACTCAAGGAAACAGCAGCCCAGAGGTGGTGAGAAGGAAAGAGGAAGACACATCAGTCTCTTTTCTCCTCTACATTCCAGCGAACCACATTCCAGTACGGAGTTGCCACCAAACTTACTTGGCACTCTTTAGGGCACAGCTCTTTCCTCCCTTATGTACAATTTTAAACCTGGGAATTAAAGGATGGGGATGGAGAGGAATGACTTTATTATATTCCAAATCATGACATCCTGTTTACTACCTAAGAAATGGATCAGGAGTGTCCCTGCACTATATTGCTTAAATGGCATTGTCACTGTGGCAAAAACATAATTATGGATCGCCTAAATCTTCTAGTGATTTTCTGACAAAACCATATGAAAGGCATTGCTAATCCTGACATCTTTTGGGACTAATGCCATCCCACACTGCTGTGCTCTGTACCATCTCCCTACTCACCCTCTCCCATGTTCACTGATGACCTGGTGCTTGATCTACAGTCTTCCTGTTTAGCCCGAGCCATACCAAACCCTAAGGTGACTTTAGTCACCTCAGCCTTTTTATATTTTGACCTTTGCAAGTCCAGTTATCTTCATTTCTACCTCTTTTCAGTTGCCGTATCCTGGTCCTTATCATTCCTAAGAACAGCATCACATCCAGAATCTTAAACACCCAGTAGCCTATCCTCCCTGTTTCTAACACCTTATCTTTTCATATCCCTTTATTTCAGCATGAGACCTCAGTTTTCTAACCCCTCTTTCTTCCTTTCCCAGGCTAGAAATCTGTGGTGATCACCAGCATCCTCAGCTTCCCATACTGGTTGTGTCTGAAATGAAGCATCACCCTTGGATCAACCTGCTTGTGTCTCTATACTGCTGAAATCCTGGAATCTACTAGAGAAAACACCATTTGTGTATGTAGATTGTTGCCATGACTAATTCATGGTCCCATGTCATTTGAAAATTCTATCTATTTGTTTTAACTCCCTCCCTCCTCCATTTTGCTCAGGAAATTCTCCAAATTACTTTCCTCAAAGTTCTTAACAAATTATTGGTTTTATCTCTCCGGCCCCTTTGTTAGCCCAATCAGAATTCATTTCCTCAAATGCCAGCCGTACTTATTTTCCCCTTCAAATTAACCAACAGAAAGCTCCTTCCATTCTCAGGCCACGCACTGTGTATCCGAGCCAGGCCCACTTCCCACCTGTGTTCATGCACACACAATCCCCCATGTTCCTCGGGTCCCTCCACCGTCATTTCTCTTCTCTTGGGGACCTGCCATTTTTCCCTTGCTCCTGGTTCATTTCCTTCAGATTAAATCTCTCATGGCCTTTAAAAAATGAAGCTCTCTCTTGACCTCGTGTCTCCCTGGAGCCGTTGCCTTATTTCATTGTCAGCTAAGCTTCCTGAGACCCTAGTCTGTTTTTATGGTCCTTACTTCATCTGTTTAACCCCAGGTATCGTGTCTCCCGTCAGTCTACCAGACATCCCCTCAGCAGCTTCACATTGTGCCTAAACAGATGAAGGCTTTGGGGCCATGTTTACATGTCCTCTCTTGTACTTGACATCATCTGCTTCTCCATCCTTGGGATGCCTGGCTTGGCAGTCTTAACTGCTCTTTCTTTTTGCTCCATCTTCTCACTTCTGGCTTTTCCTCCTTGCCACTCTCCTTGTTCTGCATGCTCTCCTGGGTCGTCTGATCCACTCTTGTGGCTTTAACTGCCCTCTGCATGCTGACTATTAAACCTCTATGTCTAGTCTGGATTATCCCCAGAGCTCTAAATCCATGTCCCACCGTTCTGGATCGCCCTACTGTGTCCACAGGTACCTCGAATTCACTGGGCCTCACCAATCTCGACCTTCTCTTCCTGTCTGCTTGAGACCTGCTTCCTCTCCAGCAGTTTCTCTCACCAGTCACATCCAGTTGTCCAGGACAGAAATCTGGAAATCATTTTGACTTATTTTGCTCCCTGATTCCCCATATGTAGCTACCAAATCTGATGAGTTTACCTCCTAAATATTTTTCAAACCCAACCCTTCTCCATTCCTGCCACTGCTGTCCTCATGCAGGTCTTGGCTCTCTCTCATCTAAACTTTTGCCAACCATAAGGGCTGGCCCGTGGCTCACTTGGGAGAGTGTGGTGCTGATAACACCAAGGCCACGGGTTCGGATCCCTATATAGGGATGGCCTGTTAGCTCACTTGGGAGAGCGTGGTGCTGACAACACCAAGTCAAGGGTTAAGATCCCCTTACTCCACGGGTTCGGATCCCTATATAGGGATGGCCTGTTAGCTCACTTGGGAGAGCGTGGTGCTGACAACACCAAGTCAAGGGTTAAGATCCCCTTACTCCACGGGTTCGGATCCCTATATAGGGATGGCCTGTTAGCTCACTTGGGAGAGCGTGGTGCTGACAACACCAAGTCAAGGGTTAAGATCCCCTTACTGGTCATCTTTAAAAAAGAAACTTTTGCCAACTAATTTCTCTGCTTGCCACTAATCCTCATTCCCCAAGGTACTTCTGAATTTTTCTGACATTCACACGTGACCACATCACTCCCCTGCTGAAATTCTTCAAGGGCTTCTGAAGGCCTCAGGATAAACCCGCTCCTTAGCAAGGCATTCCCAAGCCTTCCAGCCTCATTTCCTATCCTTTCTATGACTTACAGGTATGTGCACCATGGAAGTTCATACCTTTCTTTTCAGACTGTTCTTTTCCTCTGCATAGAATATCCTTTGCCACCTCCTTCAACTTTACACTTTTTCTAAGACAGTTGAAATGACATCCTAGGCAGCTTTCCTTGCAAGGGTATTTCCATAGCACTCTGCCCTAACTGCCGTCATTGTACTTACATAATAATAAATGTGTCCATTAATGTTTCTGCTTTCCCATAAAAGTGCACATTCTTTAAAGGCAGGACAGTGTCTTGTTTGCCTCTTGTTTCTGGAGTGGAAAGAGCCAGCCCAGTTCTGGATGCACAGTGGGCCCTAGCTAAATGGAAATATCTGGTGATGCTACTACCTCTGTCCTCCTTCACCACCTACCTATAGAATAAAGTCCAGAATCTGTAGCTGGGCTTCAAGGGAACATGGTATGGCAGAAAAAAATAGGAACTTTGAATTAGACAGACCTGATTTGAATATTTGTTCCACCATTAACAAGCTAAATGATCTTAGGGGAGTTTCTTAACCTCTCTGGACTAATTTCTTCATTTGTGAAATAGGGATATTACTGTTTAATATTGTTGTAAAGTTTGATTGAAATAATATATACAATGCCCCTGGCATGTAGTAGGTGCTGAATACATTTTCTCATCTATGACTGTTTTTCTCCCACCCTTCTGCTCTATCCTGACCACCCCTGCCACACACACACACATCTGGCCTCACAGAAGCTTCCTTGTTCATGAATATGCCCCTCCATTTTCTTTCTTTTTTTTGTCTTTTGTCTTTTTCCGTGTCTGGCAATGGATCGCAACCCTCAATGTTGCCCCCGTACCGGACCGGGGACCGGCAACGGGATCGCAACCCTCGGTGTTGCTCCCGCGCCTCGCTCAGCCAGTGAGCGGGAACCGGTCTGTATGTGGGATCCGAACCCTCGGGCGGGAGTGCCACCGCGCTTCCCAAGCGGCACACTATCCAGTGCGCCACCGGGCCGGCCCCTTCTTTCTTTTCCTTTTTCTTTTTTTGGCAGCTGTCTTGTATAGGGATCCAAACCCTTGGCCGTGGTGTTATCAGGCCCCTCCATTTTCCACACCTTTTTGTGTACTCCCTCCATTAAGGGATGCTTTCCTCATATCCACCCACCTCTACTCATTTTAGATCCCACTCCAAAGCTTGCCCAGATCCTCCAGTTAGAAAGAATTTCTTCCCTGACCTCCTGTTTCCTCACAGCATGTGATATTTCTAACTTAATACTCAGTTAGCTATCTTTTTTTTTTTTCCTTTTTGTCTTTTTTACTGACCGGTAACAGGATCGCAACCCTTGGTGTCGCGCCCGTACCGGGACCGGCAACGGGATCGCAACCCTTGGTGTCGCGCCCGCACTGTGCTGAACCCTCGGCGGGAGCGCCAACGCACTCCCAAGCGCCGCACTCTATCAAGTGTGCCACTGGGCCGGCCCCTCAGTTAGCTATCTTTAATTACTTGAAGATAGTTAACTGGGTTGGAAGCTTTTGCAGGGGAGGGGGCAGGGAAGTTTCTTCTACATTTTTGTAGCTCTCCATGGTTCTGAGCACTCTGGGCCTGGAACATGCTAAGTGTTAAATGGCTGTTTACTTTAAAAAAAAATTTTTTTTTTTTTTTGGCAGTTGGCCAGTATGGGGATCCGAACCCATGACCTTGGTGTTATCATGCTGTGCTCTAACCAACTGAGTAACCAACCAACTCCTGGTTGTTTACTTTGATGGGGGTTGAGGGGGATAGGAAAATGCTACTCCATTGGGCTAACAGTGTTGTCATAGTCTTAAAGGAACCAAACTCTCTGAATTTTACTTGTCCTTAAGATTTTTTGAGTGTTATGAATTTCCACATTTGCAAACAGATAAATAGAATGTCTGGAAATTAGACATAATTTTAGAAAATTTATTTCAAACACAATGAAAAATCATTAAGCCCTTTCAAGTGAAGTCCTGTTACAACTACCACAACAAAGAGGGAATCAATATAAAAAAACCATTTCCTGTTGAAAGAAATACCTAATTGATTGATGTAGTAATCCAGTGCTTAGCAGGTAACAGTGCTATTTGTGTTACGGGCCCATGGGGATGTTTTATAGATCTGCTCTCACGCATCTCTTCTAGCCATTAGGTAGTAATTTCCCTTGGACTCTGCTCATCCCTTTTTTTCTTCAAACCATTGAAACCAGGTGAGAGAATAGAAGCAGGTTGCCATGTCCAGAGTGAGTTCATGCTGCCAGGATTCACTAGTGCTCATCTCTCAGTGTTCAGAGTTGCAAACTAGCCACTGCATGCTTTTTCACGTGCATAGCTCTGAAGTCATATTTCCCCATTTATATGTATATTTTTTTCCTCTTCATCCTATATTTGAACTGTTGTTTTTTAGGATCCAAATCTAGTAACTCACATATTACATAATAAATGTGATGTGTAAATCTTCATTTTATTAGATACACAAGTATCTGTCGTAGGATGCTGTTGATATGGGGGTCTTGACTGTCCCTCAATATATTTATTATCCTGCCAGCTTAATAATAATAATAATAGCAGCTGACTCTCATGTAGCCCTTACCATGTGCCAGGCTTGGTTCTAAGCACATATATCAACTCATTCAATTGGCACAACCCTGAGGTGTAGGTACTGTTAACTACATTTTATGGTTTAGGAATATTCTAATGTGTGATCAATATACAGTTTATGGGGTGCTTTTCTACTTTAAACTTAGTATAAATCTAAGCACATATATCAACTCATTCAATTGGCACAACCCTGAGGTGTAGGTACTGTTAACTATATTTTATGGTTTAGGAATATTCTAATGTGTGATCAATATACAGTTTATGGGGTGCTTTTCTACTTTAAACTTAGTATAAGCCTGGGGTATACATCATAAATACTTTTTAGAAACAACCTGGAGAAATGGTCATATACAGTACTATACATAACATGTACATAAGTGTACGTATGCATTTGCTTAGAAAAATGTATAGAGTCCCTATGGTGGTTACATTGTTGGCTGCCCCAACAGCTACTCTTCTCCCAACAACCAATATTCCCTGCTTACAGAGCCCCAATTTTTTCTTTTCAGGTCGTGGGTAGAAATCTGATCCCTTGGGAGCGGGAGGAATCTACCTTAGCTTGAAGGATGAATTGTGATTAGCTAAACAACCAAGACAATCTTATTCCCTTCAGCCAGTGGATCTGAGGAGTGGAAGAGATGTGACCCAGTTCTGGC